GGGGGGGGGGGGTGGACCCAGCAAGTGCAGTAGCCGCCATGTGCCGCAAGGTTTGGAAGCGGGGCGGCTATGGAGGGGTGGCGGGTGGGGGGTCCGGAGGCTCCACCAGCCCCCGTCCTGTCTGGCCCTCCTCCAACTGAGCGTGCAGGGTGGCCCTCTGGGCGGCGGCAGCGACCCCTACTTTGATGCCGGCAGGCTGGGAGGCACGCTGTCGCACCTGGCCCGAGAGCACCCGCCCACCGGTAGGCTGCTGGCACCGCCCAGCTGTGGGGCTGACCCCCAGNATCGGCGCCGGCGTGCCCAGCGTGGGGCCCTCCTCCCACCGCCCCTCGCGCGCAGCTGCCGCAGGTCGCAGCAGGCACAGCATGCGCTGCTGCACCGTCTCACACATGCCCCCTGTGTGCTGCAGAGGAAGACAGGCAGGCGCTAGAGGAGTTGCCGCTGGGGGCGGTGGTCAAATACGACTCGCCGCTGCGCCTGCGGGAGCACGCGCTGCAGGGTCCATGTGCGTCCCGCTGCCGTTGCCTCCACTCCACTGTTTCTGTTTCTGTCGCAGGCACAGCCTGCATGCCCAGGTCGCCGCCCTGCCTCCCCAACTTGCTGCCAGCTTGGTCTCTGTCCTGCCTGCCTGCGGGCCTGCGGCACCTCACCCTCCCTCCCAGCACGCCTCATCCACCCACCCACCCCACCCTCCCCCTTCTGCCCGCCCTCGCAGCCTTCAGCGACGTCTGGCTGCGCGACCGGCTGCTGGTGCTGTGCCACGTGTCGGCGGCGCCCCTCATGCGCGGCTCCCTCAGCCACCTGGCTTCCATGCAGGCGGCCATGGCGGGGCTGTGCGCCGTCAGCGCCAGGTGGGCGAGTGCATGTGCCCGGGGGGAGGCTGGCTAGTCGATGTGGCCTGCTGGGGCGCCTTGCCACCACCCGGCCACCACCACAGCCGCCCTCCCACACCACCCCCCACACCGCCCTGCCGCTGCCCCACAGCGTGGAGGAAGGGGGCGGCAGCCGCATGCTGGACCAGACGCGGCGCGAGTGCCAGCAGGAGTTCTCGCGTGGCTTGCGCTCTCATGAGTGGGCGCAGTGCTGGCTGCTGTCGCCCTGGCGCCAGCAGGCCGCCTTTGTGCTGTCGGTGGCCACTGCACAGCTGGTGGAGGCGGTGGCGGAGCAGCGGGACGGCCTGCTGCGATACGTCCCGGAGCTGTACATCTCTTCGCTGCTCGACATGGTGGGCGTGGGTGGCGGGCAACGGTGGTGGTGTGTGTGTGTGTGTGTGTGGTCAGCAGGCCTGGGTCCTGTGAAGAGGCGGCCAGTGCGGGCGTGCAAGCCCACCCACCTTTCAGGCCGCGGCCCGCTTCTGACCTGGTGCTGCCTGTGTCCGCTGCACCCCGCCCTTCACGCCCACCCGCCCAAACCCGTCCCCGTACGCAGGTGCACGCCGTGCACCGCTGCGAGCCCGCGGTGCTAGACCACGAGGCGATGCTGGGGCTGGGGCTGCGCCACATCGTGGAGTTTGTCGTGGCGCACCTGGAGGATGAGCGGGTGAGGGCGCGGGCTGGGGCAGGAGCGGCAGGCAGGGAGAGAGGACGGGAGAGGAGGGGGAGGGGGGGGAGGGGGCTGCGCTGGGGGCGAAGGGCAGCGTTCCCGCGCGCCTCCGCTACGCCCCGTGGCGACTCGTGTGCTCACGTCACGCTGCGCTGCGCCCCCTGGCGCCCCGCCCCCCGCAGATTGTGAGCCCCGAGGTCCAGTCACGCCTGATGCACATGGTGCTGGAGGGGGTGCAGGAGCTGGTGAGGCGTGCCTGGCTGCGACGCGCCTGCCCCCGCCGCCAATCTGGCCCCCGCCTCTGCTGCTGTCTCCACCACTTGCCTCCGCTGTGCCAGCCGCGCTGGCTGGCACGCCCGCTGTTCCTCTCCGTGCCACAGCCTGCCGCCTGCCCCGTCTCCTGCACGTGCCGCAGGATCTGCTGAGAGAGCTAGGCATCAACCCGGTGGCCCGCCGCCGCCTGCTCCCCGCCATGATGCGCCTGTTTGGCAGGCCGCACCTGTGGGGGCAGGCCTCCAACTTCTTCGCCCTGTTGGTGGAGGGCTGCGGTGAGCAGGCAGTGACGCCGTCGCCTGCCTGCGTGCCAGCCTGCCTGCCTGCCTGCCAGGAAAAGGCTGCCCCTGCTTTCCGTCCCGCCGCCGGCGCCATCTCTCGCTGGCTGTGCCGCCACCCATGGCTGCCCTGCAGGCCTGCTGCACCCCCCCGCCGCCTTCCCTTCCGACTTCTCGGCGCCCGTGGCGGCGCTGCGCGGCCTGTTCAAAGACGCCTGTCTGGCAGGTGGGTGGGTGGGTGGGCCTGCATGGCCCGCGCCGCAAGCCCAGGCGGGCGACACTGCCCTGCAGGGCCGCTGCCTGGCACCTGCTGGGGGCGGGGTTAAGTGCAGGCGCCCGCGCCTGGGGTGACGCGCTCTGCCGGCTGCCGCCGCCGCGCCTGCCCCTGTGCAGACGCCGACCTGTGCGCCCGCTTCCTGCACCACCTGTTTGACCACGTCAACCGCATGCTGACTGAGCTGGTGGCCTCGCTAGAGGTGGGCCCCTGCCTGCCTGCCCGCCTGGCTGGCGCCCGCATGCAGAGCCGCTGCCGGCAGGCTGCTGGCAGTGACTGCCGCCAGTGGCGGCCGCTGGCACGGGGGCGGGCAGCCGCCAGCCGGGCCCGGCGCCGTGCGTCGTGGCTGCGCCAGGCTGGCTGGCCTGCTGCGGCCGCCGGTGGTGCGTGAACTGCATGCTGTGCCACGCTGGGCGTGATGCCGCGCTGCGCCGTGCCATGGTGAGCCACCCCACGCCGCCCTCCCTCCCCTCCCTCCCCTCCCTCCCCCCTCTCTTCAGTCGATGGACAGCGCCTGGGGCCGCAACGGCGCGGGCCAGCCCTCCGCCCAGCACCTGCGCCTGCTCACCTCCACCGCCGACTATGCGCTGGTGCTGCTGCGCACGCTGGAGCTGCTGGCGGGTGAGGAGGGGGGCCACTGGTGGTGGTGATGGTGGTGCTGGTAGTGCTGGTGGTGATGCCGCGTTTGGGTTGGGGTGGGACCACGCTTCTGCATCACAGCAAGTCGAGGCACTTGCATGGCAGGGCCTCAGCGCGTTCCCGCGTTATCGGGCTGCCCTGCTGGCGCTGCTCCTTGCGTGCAGGCGAGATGCCGCAGCTGTTTCTGGAGGGAGGCGACATGAACATGCAGCGGCTCGCAGGTGGGGGGGTGGAAGGAGCATTGGGCCTTTGAGAGGGGAGAGGTTGTGCATGGGGCTTGCGCTGACGTGCTGGGTGTGCTGTGCCCGCACCTGGGCATCCCCTGATGCATGCATGCCTTCCAGCGCTGCTGCCGCTGCTTCCCCCCCGGCTATGCAGAGGTGCTGGGGTTTGCTCTGCCTCAGTTTGTGAGCGGCAGGGCGCGGCGCGCGCTGGAGCGGCTGGCCGCCAACCGGCTGCTGTCGCAGCAGCTGCGCCTGCGCAACGCGCACCTGCTGCAGCCGCTGGCTGGCCTGCTGGTGGCGCTGTGGGAGGCTGAGCAGCAGCAGGAGGCGGGGCAGCATGGGGAGGGGGAGGCGGGTGGCAGCGGTAGTGGCCCCGGCAGCAGCAAGGCAGCGCTGGAAGCAGGCGCCGGCAGCGGCAGCTCTGGGGATGGCGGCGCGGCCAGCTGGGAAGCCGCTGCGCCTCCCGGCGGCGGGCAGGAGCAGGGGGCAGCGCAGGGCAGGCAGCCGAGGCGGCGCAACTCGCTGCTGCGCGCGCTGGGGCGGCAGGCGGCTCTGACTGACGATGTGCTGCGGGGCCTGCGGGGCGTGGAGGTGCGACCCTGCCGCCTGCGCCCTTGCCGCCGCCCCCATGCACCAAGCCCTGCGTGCGGGGCCGCAACCCCTTCCACCCTCTTACTTGCGTCCAGCTAGCCCCCTTCCCCACACACTCCACCCCATGGGGACGCGCACACACCGTCATAACAGCAAGCACCTGCCCTGCCTGCAGCTGGCTCAGGTGGAGCCGCTGTCAGCTGAGGCGGCCGCCGCCGCAGCGGATCGGCCCGAGCCGCCGCTTGGCGTCGAATGCCGCGTCGCTGCCGATGTGCAGCGCCTGACCCAGGCCGTATCAGCCCTGGTGGCCGCCAGGGAGGCGGCAGCAGCGTCGGCAGGCGGCAGGGGCGGCGCAGGCGGCGGGGACGGCGGCCAGGTGGTGCCAGGTGGCGAGGATGCTGAGGTGGCGGAGGTGCCCGAGGAGTACCTGGACCCAATTCTGGCCACCCTCATGCAGGCGAGGGCTGCTGCTGGCATGGCGTGCTGGGCCTCATGCTGGGATCCTGCGCCTGCCCTGGCGCTCCCTGGCTTCTTCCGCGCTGCCTCCCTGCTGCTGGCTGCCTGCCCTCTCGACACCCGCCCCTTGCAACCGCCGCCTTGCAGGATCCGGTGCTGCTGCCCGACAGCCGCACCACCCTGGATCGTTCCACCATCGAACGCCACCTCATGTCCAGCAGCACAGACCCATTCAGGTGACTGCATGGCAGCCTCCCCACGCCACCCAGCTGCCGCTGGATCCTGCCTGCTGCTGCCCCAGGTTGTCCCTGTCTGCTGCTGGCGGGCCTGGCTGCCTGGCTGGCCCTCGCTCCGGCTCTCCCCTGCCCCTCATCTCCCCTGTGGGCCGCCGCCCTCCTGCAGCCGTGCCCCGCTGTCCAAGGAGCAGCTCATCTCCAACCACGAGCTGCGGCAGCAGATTGAGGCCTGGCTGCAGCAGCACCCGCACCACAGCCACAGCCACCACAGCTGACAGCCAGAGGCCAGGCCTGAACAGCTACCCCACCAGCAGCTGCCTGTGGCGACAGCCCAAGTGCAGCGCGCTGTGCTTGCCTTGTGAGTGGAGGTGAGCCATGCAGGGCCCTGTACATTGCTCTGCGGATGTTACTTTGATGCGACATGCATGGTGTACGATGAAAGGCTGAAGAAGATCTCAGGCCAGGGTGTGGGCATGATTAGTCATTACTTTATTCTAGGGGGGTTGCTGCCTGGGTATGGTGGGGGCTTGAGTGGGGTGTGGTTGGTCAACAGGCGAAGAGCATATGGAAAGGGATGGCGGGAAACGGAAAGTACGCTGAGGGTACTGAGGCGGTATTGAGCGGGGCGTAGCAGAAAGCACCGAGGTTGGGGCAAAATCGCTGGCCCGGCGGGCCTTGCAGCGCGCCACATTCAAGGCCTGGCTTTCTTGCAGGTGCAGGTCTTGCCATCCTGGCGCAGCACCTGGTTCCACCCAGGCACGCACCACAGGCAGCTGTGGTGGTCTGCCGAGTCGCAGGTGGCGCAGCCCGGCAGCGTGCACCTGACGCAGCTGCCCGTGTGGCGGTCGGCGGCCAGCCCGTTGGTGCAGTTGCGGCATGAGTAGGGGTCCAGGTCGCCGTTCAAACAGTTCCTGTCTATGCACTCCACGCACTCGTTGTCCAGCACGCCGTGGAAGGGCAGGCAGCCGAAGCAGGTGTCTATGTCTCGCAGGCAGCTGACGCAATCGGGGTCGATACACAGCGTGCACACCCCACCCACCGACTTGTAGCCGGGCACGCACTTCTTCATCGACAATGCACAGGCAGCAGCAGGGATGCTGGGCTCAGAGGCTGCTGCTGGGCGGTAGGGCAGCGGCCAGCCAGGCATGCAAGCCCAGCGCTCGGGCGTGGCATGCACGCCAATCTGGCAGGGCAGCCCCCCGCTGGCTGGTTCCACGGCCTGACCTGGCAAAATGAGCGGTTGCCGTTGCACTGCAAACAGAGGTCGTCCTGGATGCACAGCTTGCACGCACCATCAATCACGCCCATGAAGTCAACACACTTGGTGCCTGCGAGGCGGCAGGAGGCCAGAGCAGCCGGCACTGGTGTCAGCCAGGCAATGCCGCCAGCCTCGAGGCCATGGCCAGCACCATGGTCGGCTGGCATCTGGCAGCATGCTCCAACACATCGGACAGCGCCCACCTGTCTCACCCCATTTTGAGCTGCTCAATAAGAAGGGTGTGCGAGCAGCGCTGGCCAGAGGTGCAGTACCCGCTCATCCACCCCCACCCCTCGCATCACAATGCATCAGCCACAGCCACTCACAGGAGCGCTCCTGGATGTTGCTACACGCCAGGCAGTCCTCGTCGTAAAAGCAGGGGCTGCAGGTGGCGTTGGGCGTGAGGAGGAAGGTGGCCTGGCACTCGACACAGCGCCCGCTGCTGTTCTTGCACCGCTGGCATCCGGGGGTGACGGCATCGCACTGCAGGCGGAGAGGGGTGCAAGTGCGCGTGGAATGCATGTTGTGCTACCAGGTGCACCGGATCAGGGCCATGCCATCACCACCGCCACCACACACGCACGCACACCACCAGGACCACAATGTCTGTGGCCCATCAATGCCTGAGGCACCCCATCTGTGCTGCTGCGGGTCGCAACAGAGCACTGTTAACCCGGCCACACCCCCCACCCGTACCCGCTGGCAGGCACCCCGGGAGTTTACAAACGCCAAGCCCGCATTAGTGCCCTTCTCCAGACACTGCACCAGCATGAGGGGTGGGTGATGAGCAGAGCTCCTGTATGGCCGCAGGGGTCTGTGTCGCAAGTTCCTTTGCGGATATGCAGACTGTAAACACAAAAAGCAAAAAGCAAAAGCAGTAATGATGCAGTAGGCAGGCCGCCCGACCTGGGTGCAACGCTGGGGGTTGGCCGAGTGGCATTTTGAGCAGTAGAGGGATGGGTCCTTGGTTCCTGGCGCCCTACACTGCGTGCACTGCCCGTATCCGCCTACCGTGTACCCAAGCTCGCACCGTGTGCATCTGCGATACATGGGGTGGGGGGCATGGCCGCCAAGGGTCACAAGCGTGAACGGCACCGACCGCGCCACCACACCGTTCTGGAAACAGTAACGCACATGCGTCCATTCGCGCTGCACATGCTGCATTTTTTGCGGTGTTGGATGCACACGCCCGCGGCTCCTGCATGGCAGTTGGAGCACAGGGAGATTTGGCGCAGCAACGGTTCCGCGGAAGCGTCCCTCGCGACCGGTGCGGCGCCAGGACACCTGCCGCTCCGGCTCTCACGGCGCCCTACCCCGGACGATGTGTAATGCACTCACAGGCACAAATCGCTCACAGAACATGCACACCCTGGCGGAAACAAGCAAGTTTCCGGGGGGGGGGAACTCGCCCGGCCGGCACAGGTGTTTGCACCGCACGCCGCTGTCCAAAACAAGTAAGCAGCAGGGCCTCACAATTGCGTTTCACTCACCGTCGACCAACAGCAGGAGAGCCACAAAGTTTAGTGCTCGCAAGCAGCGCTGTGCCGGGGCACTCATACGCCCTGCGCCCTCCTTTTCACCTCATGAGAAGGTGCACAGCAGAGGAAGTGCGCGAGGGAGGTAGCTGCATGGAGGTGAGGCAGCTACTATGTGGCACCGCCTGCGCAGCACTGCTGTCCTCATCAGACCCTTGTGTCCCTCGGCCGAGTATTGCATTGTGTGAGCAGAACAATACGTTGATCCAGGCCAACAAAGTCCATTATCATACTTAAGAAGCTAGGTGACAAAAGAATTTGGATGGAATAGGGATGCGAAAAACTGGGATATCGTGCTAAAGACGGCTTGCTGTCGAATCCGTTCACGGCTGCCCTGATCAGCTCAGGGGAGCAGCAGGGGCAGCTGCTGCGCCAGGGCCCACAGCACGGCCCCCAGGAACAGCAGCTCGCAGGCCTCCACCGCCAGCGGCTGCAGCCAGGGTGGGCAGCGGCCAGCAACTCTCCAGTCACGACCTCCCCCAGCCCATGCACCGAACTCCACCCCCTGCCACGCACGCGATGCAGCGCCCGGCCCCACCTTCTCCATGCTCTGCAGCTGGTCCGCCAGCGCCTCGCAGCCCATGTGCAGCGCATGCTGCAGCCGCGCCCGCCGCTCCCGCTCCTTGGCGATGCGCAGCAGCACCACCACGCCAAAGAACATCTGGAGGTAGGCCATGATGGCGGGGCAGGCGCAGTCGGCGGCGCCGCCGCCCAGCAGCGCCGCGGCGGGAGACACCAGGCGGCCCAGCAGGCCCAGCACCGCGCCTGCCTCCCGGAACTGGCTGCACGCCGCCGCGCACTGCGACACGTTGAGGCTGCACCTGCACACCGGCCACCGCCAGCAAGCAGCAGGCAGGCAGAGGTCGATCACGGCGCCGGCGATTGGCGGCGGGACAGCTGGCGGCGGGCATACCGCCCCCGGCGCCCCACCCTTCCTCTGTGCCACCCACCTCAGCGAGTTGCTCGGCAGCAGCGTGGCGGCCGACAGGGGCTGCACCCAGCGCAGCCGGCTGTACTTGATGGGCAGGAGCAGCGGGTCGAGCAGCAGCCAGGGCACCGCCGACGTCATCACCGCCGCAAGCCACATGGCCAGCCGTGGCGAGCACAGCACGACTGCAAAGCTGCGCAGCATGCTGCTGCCCTCCAGCATGTACAGGACATGCCCCGCTGCCAGGCACGGCTCGCGGATGCTGCGCAGGGGGAGCACACGATGGCGGCGGCAGGGGTGAGCAAGGCGCCAAGGCGGCTCGACGCCAGAGGTTTGGCATGCGCAATGCCTTCCTGGCAGCCGGACAGCATGCGCCTGCCCGGCCACCGGCTTGCGCGCGTGCAGCCCAGCAGCCCCTCACCGCGCCCACAGCTGAGGCCGGGCGGAGGACAGCCAGGCGGTGAGGATGACTGACAGGGTGGCCAGCAGGCACACCGCAATGCTGCCGGCGCTGGCCTGGGAGTGGATGACCTTGAGCAGCAGGCCCACGTGGACCAGCACGTGCGGCAGCGCGATCCTGCGGTCGGCGGCCACCAGGCGCTCCAGCTGGGAGCGGCAGTAGTCGCCTTCCATCTCCGGGCTGCTGAACACCAGGGTGCCGGCGTGGAAGTGCAGGGCTGCAGCGGAGACCGCCGAGCTGGGTGGCTTGAATGCCCGGTGGCTGCTGACTTTGATGGGCGGCTGCAGCTGCTTGGTTGTGGCGGCGTCGGCGTGTGGCGTCGGCATGGCCGCCGCCGCCAGGGGCGGAGCCATGTCTGATGGCTGCGGTACTCGAGGGCTTGGCGGGTGCAGTCGCCTCCTCGTCTGGGACCCGCAGCTCAGCGTAGTGGAGGGGCGGTGCAAGGCGGGGAGAGGTAGGGCCTGGTGGGATGAAAAGGGTGGGTAACCAGGGGGGTGCGGGAGAGATTCAGCGTTGTCCACAGTTGCCTGACCGATTCAAGAGGCGCGGAGCCTAGTAATAAACCAGTTACAGGCCGGGGGGTGGAGTCGCCCGCGTTCCATGCACAGCACCCCACGGGGCCGCTCTCTGGGAGTTCAGTTAGCTTCGGCACTGAATCCGGCGCTGAATCCAAACCATGCGCGCCTGTTACAGGCAAAGCGCCACCCGTACTGCTCGCAAATCTCCCGGCCAAAGACAAGGCATTTGCGTCTTGTCAAAGGCACAAACAAAAGAGACCAAACCACCTCGATGAGGGCAATGATTGCCCCACATGCAAGTGAGGGCTGCCCCTTTGCCCCTGCAACCTGCTGGCCGCACTGCCGGCCGTCTCACTCCTTGGAGACGGGAATTGGGAGCAGGCCCTTTACACTCCCTCGAGGAAGGGACACATCACCATGTTGCGAGCAAATAGGAAGGCATGAGAGGAGTATGGCCGTCTCTACTGACAGGACAGGTGGGCCGAGGCAAAGCGGGTGGAGGTAAGCGGGTGAGTAGAAGGAACTTCAAAAGTAGAAGGAACTTCAATTATTGAAACTTCAATTATCGTTATGTTCAGCTGCGAGGAGAGAAATACTCGCTTGTGAGGGGGTTCGTAGAAAGAATGGAGGAAGGAAAGGACACTACCTGTGCGGCAATTCTCAATGACGTACTGGCGGCAGGACCAACCCTTGTTCATGGGGGAAAAATCGTGTTCACGAGGGTGCGTTGGGTGGGAGGCTGAGCGACACCCTGCCGTCCTGCCAGGCTTGGAACAGGGTGTGCAGGTCGGCGCTTAGGGTTGCAAAGGAGGCCGACCAGCTCAGCGCGTCCACCCCGGCAAACAGGCTGGGATCGGGCTGCAACCCCGACAGCAGCAGCTGCTGCTGCAGAAACGACGGCTCCCTGCCCTCCTGCGCCGCCGCCTGCTGCGCCGGCTCCTCCCTTTTCACTTGCGCTAAAGGCAGGGGCACTGAAGCCTCCTGGGCAAATGGGCTGGCGGCGGTGGCTGCGCGAGCTGCACCGCCCCCGCTGACGTCCACAGGCTGCACCACCGCACACGATGTGCTGGCTGCTGGCTGCCTCGGTGCTGGCGGCGGCATCTGCACCGATTTCGGCTGGGCAGCCTGCAGCTGGGCCTGGCGCTGCTGCTGCTCCTGCTGCTCTTGCTCCTGCTCCTGCTGCCGCAAGTGTAGCTGCTGCTGCTGCTGCTGCTGTTGCTGCTGCTGAAGTTGTTGCTCCCGCTGATGCTGAAGCAGCAGCTGCTGCTCCTGTTGCTGTTGACGTTGTAAGTGCTGCTGCAGCTGCAGCTGCTCCTGATAGTGCTGCAGCAGCTGGCGTTGCTGCTTGTGACGCTGCTGTTCCTGGTACAGTTGCAACAGCTGCAGCTGCTGCTCCTGCTGCTGCTGCTGTTGCTGCAGGCGCTGCTGCTGCTGCTGCTGCCGCTGGTAGGCTTCCCAGGCCGCTGCGCTATCGGCAGGCAGGCCGCTGGGACCCAGCAGGGTTGGCCAGGCGCCACTGTTGGCCTGACCCGGCTGCAGGACGAGAGGCATGCTGTCTGCGGCCTGCGGCTGTGGCTGTGCGCCGGGTGTCAGGCCCAGCGCAGCCGCCATCAGGCCCGGCGGCGGCTGAGCGCCCGGGGGCAGGCAGCCCAGCGCCTGCAGCGCCGCCAGCGCCGCCTGCTCCACATTGGAGCCGGGCCCGCCGCTGCTCTGCTGCTGCAGCACCACAAACTGCTGCTGCGGCGGCGCACCGCCAGGCTGCTGTATTTGCGGCGCCTGCTGCCAGGGCGGCGCCTGTGGCTGCCCCGGTTGCGCACCAGGCTGGCCGCCTGCCCAGTACGGCAGCTGCGCACCCGGCCCCATCATCAGCACAATGGTGGGTGCGGCGCCGCCAGACCCGCCGGCTCCGATGTCAGGCTGGGCAGGGTGCGGGGGCGGGCTGGTGCCCTGCCGCACGGGCTTGGCACTGACGCCGCCGCTGCTGGTGCCGCCCAGGGATTCTGTCGGCGTGTGTGCGATGGCTTTCTTCTTGACAGCTCGAACCCGGGGCGCGCTGTCTTCCGAATCCTGCAGCCGCGCCGGCACATGCCGCTGCCGCCCCCGCTTCCTCCCCTCGGGAGCCTCGCCGCCTGGCTGCGAGCCGTGGCTGCCACCCGGGGACGCGGCCTGCTGCTCCTGTGCTGCTGCGTCATCGGGGTGCCAGCGTGTGGGGAGGCCCACGGCTTGCAGCAGCTTGCCGCGCATCCAGCCTGCAGGGAGGGGCGGGCGTTCGAGGCAGATGCGCTCGTCAGCATTCGGGGTGGGTGGGCGCAGCACGGCGACAGGCCGGCGCATGCTTATGGCGGCAACGGCTGCCTGTGGTTGGAGCGCAGCAGTGCCCCACCGTTGTTGCCGCTCGCGGTCTGCACGCCAAACACGACGCCAAACATGTGTCGCAGCTCCGGCTGCCTGCGGGGTGCAAGGCAGGGTACGGCGGCGCCGTTGACAGCGGCCAGCCGCTTTCCTTGGGCAGTGCAGGATGCGGTGGGAGTTGGGGTGGCGGGCAGTGACCAGCACAGCTGCAAGCCGTCCAGGCAGGCAGGGCTGGGGCACCCGGCTGCCCCCCCCCTCCCCCGCACCTGAGCTCCCAGATTGCCAGCCCCGCCTGGACAGGGTCGGCGCCTAGGGCCTCAGCCGCTGCCGCCCGCGTCTCTGCCGTGACCTCATGCTTCAACAGGTGCTGGCCCGGCTTGCCCGGCTTGGCTTGCGCGGCAGCGGCGGCCGGCAGCGACGATGGGTCACGAGGTGGCTCGGCAGCCGCAGCAGGCGTCGGCGCCGGCTCGCGAGGCGGCTCGGCAGCCGCGGCAGGCGCCAGCGACGGCTCGCGAGGCGGGTCGGCAGCCGCGGCAGGCCCCGGCGACGGCTCGCGAGGCGGCTCAGCAGCTGCCGCAAGCGCCGGCGACAGCTTGCGAGGCGGGTCGGCAGCCGTGGCAGGCCCCGGCGACGGCTCGCGATGTGAGTCGGCAGGTGCGGCAGGCGCCAGCGACGGCTCGCGAGGCGGGTCGGCAGGTGCGGCAGGCTCTGTCGAAGCAGCCTGAAGCAGCAGCCACATTTGAAAGGATCAGATCAAGGGAGAAGTTCATTGGGCTACCCATTGGAGTCTCCCAAAGGTCTGTGGGTAGGTTAGGGGCAGGACGCACCGCCGCCGCCGTTGCCGCCGGCCGGCGCCCTCCTAGGCGCAGCTCCCCGCTGCTTGTAGCGCGCCCAACGGCGCGCGTGGCTCCCCAGCGTGGAGCGCGGCCGAGTCCCGACAGTTTTCCGCTGCCCGGCAAAGGTCACTTCTCAAGCTGCAGGGCGCACCTGCATAGCTGGCGCTGGGGCCACCACGTCTATGCCTCCCGTCTCCAGCAGGGCTGAGGGGCGTGGCAGTGAGGCAGGGCAAGAACCGGGTGCCGAGGGTGAGCCAAACTCGGCGTGGCGTGGGACGGAGGAGACGCGAATGCGACCCCAAGGTCGGATTAGGGAATCACAATCAGCGCTCCTAGCATCATCGTGGGGCTCTTGCCCATTTTGTGACAGCGAGCAGGAAACCCATGTGGCCTGCTTTCACATTGCTCTCTGTTCCGGCAGAAATCAAAGCCGGGGCACCGCGGCCCCCGCCGATTCCCCTGCAAGCGGCGCCGCCCCTCTGTGCACCCTGCATGCGGCGCTGCGGGCGGGAGCCGAGCAGCAACCTACACGTGTGTCAGCAACTCTGCTCTTTGTCTCTGATGGCAGCTCAGGCACGAATGATTTTCGCCTTTATACGCTGGCACGTTGACTGCAGCCCACCAGGTATACCCAACGTATGCCGCCACTGGCATGTGGCGGGAGCATGCATGAGCAGCTGTGAAGCCCTGGATGCGTGTAGCTTCATTTTTCTGACCCGCCAGCTGTTTCCTTGAAGCAGAGCCAGATTAATGTCATTGGGAGTGAGTGCGGAGTAAATGTAGTGCCTGTACTGCTAATTCTGGACTTCTCACGGCCCTTCTAGTCCACTTATCGCCACAGAGCAATTCAATTCAGGTCACCTTGTGGTGGCGACGATTGGTTGTTGCTGAGGTGCCAGAAAAAAAAATGGACTGTCAGGCGACAGCCCTGCTCGCCTCACGGCCCGAGCTTGTTCCCCTGGTGAAGTGGGTCGCAACAGGCAAGGCCGCGATCGGGGCAGCCCCTGCGGGCATGCAGGGCGCTGGCGGCCGCTGTCGCCGCTGGCGCTGGCCCCGCTGTTCCAGCTTCCAGCTGTTCCAGTTTCCAAGCGTGCGCAGTTTTCCCAACCTGCAGGGACGCCAACGGACAGCACCGCCAAGCTTGCCGCCACATTCCACGAATGCATCTGCAAGCCGTTACGGTTCCTCATTGGATGTGCGTTTTTGGTCAGGTTGCGTCGGCAACAAACCGTTTGCCATCAACGCCTTCAGCAAATGCTGCTTGCACTGCCTTCGTTGCAGGCCACTTTCATGAAGGATCCCAGAGGGCCTTCGAACTGGTGGTGGCGGGGCTCAGCGCAAAGCTGCCTGCTGACGTGGCCGACCAAGCGGCTGTCAGGGACGGCATGCTGTCGGTGTGCCAGAAGCTGAAAGAGCCGCGATGTCGATCTTGGACGAACCTGGACCTCCTGGCCAGTGGCCCCTTTGTGCGCATGTGAGTGGCATGAAGCGGGCAGGATGCAGGCGGGCGCTGCTGCTGATGCCTCGACTCAACACACACAGTGACGGGGTCTGCCATGGCCGATTCAGTACTGCTTGCCGCGCCTGTGTTGCAGCTTTGACGGCGACCTGGGGCTCTACAACTTGGAGCAGCTGGTACGGGACGAGCGGGGGTGCTGGAAGCTGCCCAAGACGGTGAAGGCGGTGGCGCAGCGGCTAGCAGACGCGGGCGAGATGAGCGAGCTGGCCTCGCTGTTTGTCGCAGCGGCCGAGGCTGGGGAGGGTGGGTGCCTGCCAGCTGAGCGCAGGGAACCGTGGGATGGATATTGGGGGCGGTCGGGCAGTAGCCATCACATGCCAAGCTGCTGTGTCAGTTGGATGCAGGTGGGAAGCAAGCAGCGGCACAGTTGGCTGCAGTAATGTTCCATGAGCTGCAGAGCCCAGCTGGCCGTGCTCTGCTTGGCCGGCTGAGCAAGGAGCCGCTGGCAAGCCTAGCAGCAGCTCTCTGCCAGCATGGTGAGTGAGGCACATGGTGTAGCCAGCTGAAGAAGAGGGGCATCACCTCGCAGCCAGCCGGCAGAGCTGCATGTTCTGGGACGGGAAAGCCTGCTGCGTTGCTGGTATCCAGTTGCTGCCCAGACTGCACCTGCGATCCATTGATTCAGTGTACTGGGTGGTGCAGGCAGTGGTGAGGATGCGGCGCGCCTGCTGGGGGCCGTAAAGCTGCAGGGCTCGGCAGCTGCCGTGCGCAGGGCCATTGCCCTGGCTCTGTGCCGAGCTCAGGCTGGCAGAGATGCGTCTGTGGCAGGCAAGTCGCGTGGGATGCTCACACTTTGTTTGTTGCACGGCGCAGCTGCATCATGTTTCTGGTACCTACCTTACAGGTGGCCATGCATCCAAGCTGTTCATGCGCCTCGTTTGAGGTGCTTTGCAGCCCTCTTTGAGCCCATCCCCGGCCTGCGAGCCGCCCTGCGAAGCGTGCTGGACGAGGTTGATGCCGCCGTGGCGGCGGGCCGGCCGCCAGCGCCCAGTCCCGACGGCTGGCGGCTGCCAGCAGAGCTTGTGGCGCAAATACGCTGCAGCCGGGCTGGCGACGGCAAGCTGTGCCACGTCTGCCAGCCCGTTGTGGTAAGCCAGCAGGCATGGCTTCCAGCGGCTGCTCACGAGTGGGAGGGTGGGTGGGGTGGGGGGGCCAGGGAGGGCTCGATACAGACCTGCTGAACATGCTGTGCTGTCTGTGCTGTGACCACAGGGCTTCTTGCAAAGCAACCAGCTGGAGACAGCGGTGCCCATTCGCTTTGAGGCGGGGGACCCCCAGGACAACCAGCAGCACCTGGAGAGGTATCTGGGTGCCGCGTGCTGGGTACCTTGCTGGGAGCATGACTTCTGATCTGTATGTACCTGGGTAGCAACAGAATGGGAGGTGGTGCCCAGCCAGCCTGGACGCCCCCAGCGGCTGCACCATGACCACCTGCTGGCACCATGCACGATGTTTGTGGTGCAGTGTGCTGGCGGACTGCGTACAGCGGTGCCCTCTCTCCAAATACGTGAAGTGCTGGCACTTCACGATGCCACCTGGCAAGCCGGACAAGCGCCAGCGGGGCAAACTGCAGCCGCAGCACGAGGTGGCAGGTGCGCTGTGGCAGCACAGCCAGCATTGCCGCTCCCGCTGTCAGTGTATGAGTTACGGCAGCTGGAGAGGCGGCCTACAAACATTGCCATTGCTTGCTTGTCTCGGCAGCCATCTATGCTCCCTCTCTGACACATGCTGGCCCCCTGCGCGTGTTGCTTTGATGTTGTACAGCGGTGCGGTGCAAGAAAGTGGACACCTAGCACAAGGAGCGGGTGCAAGCCTACCGCAACGCCTTGCAAGATGCTCAAGCGCTGCTCCAAATGCTGGAGGCAGCGCCAGATGAGGCTTCTGCTGGCCCTGCCCTCGGTCTGAACCCTGAAAAGCACACACCGGCGCCGGGAGGGATGCCTGCCGCTCTCGAGCCTCCAGCAGAGTCGGAAGCTGTGGCAGCCATCCCTGCGGTCCTGGCAGCCCTGGAGGAGGCAGACGCATCCACGGCAGCACCGGTACCGGCTGAAGTGGCATTGCCAGTAGTGGCGGCAGCGGCAGAGCCAGTGGCAGCGGCGGCAGCGGCCGCCGCCATGGATGTGGATGGCGAGGAGGAAGAGAAGGAGCAACCAGCGCCAGCTGTGACCAGAGCACCCTCCTCACCCCGCCCAGCACCAGCACCAGCCATGGCTTCGGAAGCGGAGGCGGAGGATGCGGGCTCGAAGCCAGTGTCACTGGCCCCCGCAGCAACGGCGGCAGCTGTGTCGCCGCCGCCCTCACCCGCGGTGGCAAGCGCCAATGCAGCCCTGCCCCTGCCAACTTCAGTTGCCAGGATGGAGACTGTGGAGGAGGAGCAGCAGGAGGTGGGGGAGCAGGAAGGAGAGCAACAGCCTCCCATGCTGCAGGAGCTGCCAGCTCCTGTGGCTGCAGCGTCGCCGGCACCTGCCGCTGCCGCCGCTCAGCTGCTAGAGCCCGAGAGCGAGGCGGTTCAGCTCACTCCTGTTGCACCAGGCGATGCCGCCACAGGCAGTGCGCGGCGCACTGGCGGCAGCAGGCGGCGGGGCCGCAGCACTGAGCCCAAGAGCACCGGGCGCAAGCGAGCGGCGTCGTCGACGGCTGGTGGCGGCAGCACGGCCAAGCGGCGTGCGGCTGGTCCCGGCACCTCGGTTAAGAAAGATACCGGCCCTGGCAGCGGGAGTGAGTGCCGCCGCTATGTTTTGGCCTCGTGCTGTGCTGGCCCTTCACCGCTCACCTTGCCCATGCGCTTGCCCTGCCTCCAGCTGCCGCTGTTGCCGCTCCCAACTGCCGCCGCCCATCGTGTTGTTCCTGCGCCTCCTGCAGTTCGTGCCAAGCTGCGGAAGGATGCGGAGAGGCTCAGGCTGCCCACGCTGCTGCGCTGGTTCAAGCCTGAAAACCAGCACCTCAGCCGGGAGCAGTGTGCAGCCCTGGCGGCCCAGGACGCGGGCCTGCGCCCGACCCGGCTGCCCTTTGGTGGGGAGGAGGCGGCGGCAGAGCATGAGTGGGCAGAGCCAGGAACAGCGCTCCCTCTGCATTAATGTGGGCTCTTCTCTTTTCGCTCCTGCCAACCAAGCATTCACCAGTTCTTGCCGTGGCACCTTCCCATCTTCATGCCATTTGCGTTTACATGGCCATTTGCGTTTACATGGGCAGCATACACATACATGTAATGTACAACGTTGTATGCAAGCCACTGCCGAGTGGTGCGGTATCATGGCCAAGCTGTCCTGCACAGCACCCCAGGGTCCCTCACTCGTGCGGCTTGGTGCGGGTGATGTACTGCCCAGCGCTGCCGCGGTCGCCGTACCGCTCCCGCCCTAGCTTGCTCTCCTCGGCCTGCCGCATGGCACCATGCAGCATCGAGCTGCACGGCACAGAGCAGCGGGTGGGAGAGCGGGTGACACGCACGCCCAAGCTTGATTCCTGCGTTGCGCACATGCAAGGCATGCAAGGCGCCTGGCGGCAGCACGCTGCCATGGCAAGGGAGCGCGCCGCAGGGCAGCGCTGGCCCCACCTGACTCGCCCCCGCATCAGCTGCTGCTCCCCCGCCTTGTCCAGCTGCTGCAGCAGCAGGCGCCGCTTCTCCGCCTCCCCGCGGATGCTGCACATCAGGACAGGGCAGGTTGGCGGCACTGGACGGGTGCATGTTGTGCCAGATCAAGCAGCGGGCATGCCGGATGAGCCAGCCCGGCGTCCAGCCACTCACGTCTCGGCCCAGTTGAGCGGCAGCACAACCCAGCCGCGCTGCTGCAGCAGGCGCAGCTTGGCCTGCTTGGTGCCGGGTGTCTCGTTGGCAATATACCTGCAAGGCCGGGGCAGGGGCACCGGCAGGGCGCCAGCTCGATAGTTGCAGCAGCACAGCCTCCCACACAGCCACACAGCAGCAGCACCGGATTACAAAACGAAATACCACTCACCCGCTCAGCATCGTGCCCTCTGCATCCAGGCTCGCCAGCCGGCCGCCGCCGCCGCCGCCGGCGCTGCTGCCGATGCGGGGGGCGGTCTCCAGGAAGAAAGCCACCTTGTAGTCTGGCAGGGCGATGTCCACATGCACCAGCCCATCCTCCACCGCCTCCTGCACCTAGGAAGGGCAGCCACGTCACCACCACGCAGCACGACTGCCCTGGCCCCCCCTGGCCCACCCAGTGTGCTGCTGCCCATGCCTACTTTCCCCGCTGCTCGCCTGCGCACCGCCTCACACCCTGCCGTCCCTCCGCCGCCCTCCCCCTCACCACCCACCTGCACCACATGGTAGAGCCCCAGGTCGCGCAGCGTGCGCGACACGTCGGCCAGGGTGCGCGTGAAGTCGTTCTGGCGCGCCCGCTTCCCAGAGATCTCAGACTTGAACTTGGCCAGCAGGTAGGGGTCATCCAGCAGCTGCAGAGGGGGCAGGCAACCAGGCGAGGCACAGAAAGGGGGCAGGGTGGGCGGGCGGGGAGGAGGCGAGGAGGCACACGGCGCGACCCTGCGCGGTGGGGGCCCTGGCAGGGCCCACGCCGCACCTGCTTGGCGTGCTGCAGGTCCAGCATCTTCAGATCCTCGAAGAAAGGTGCATACGCCACGCTGTCGCCCAGCTCCTGCGCTGGTGTGCAGGCGCCGCACACGGCCAGGCCGGGTGAGGGCTGCCAGCCTTGGACTCAGCAGGACCGCGGCCCAGGCACGCACAAGCCGAATGCTCCTTAACTCCTGTGGCTGGAGGCTCACCTGGTAAATGGTGACTAGCAGGCGCAGCATGGACAGCTCTATCAGGTAAGGCCCGTCGAACCCCGCCTGGCGCGATGCGGCGCGGTACGCCTGCTCGCAGCGCGTGATCAGCGGCAGCGGGCAGCCGCCCGCGGCCAGGGTGGCGCGCACCTCATCTGCAACCGGGGTCAGGAATTCAGCAGCCGGGCAAGGTCTCCGCCTGGCAGCAGCAGCCTCGCGACAACTCATTCCGTCAAGCCGGCCAGCAAGGCGGTGGCACAAGGGACGAGCCAGGCCAGGCCAGCATGCAGCCGCCACGCACCAGAGGCAGAGCGCATGCGCGGCACGACGGCGGCGATACCGCCCGTGGGCCCCACCGCAGTGACGGCGCCTCGGTCGGTGAACAGCGCCGCCTGCCACAGGTGGATGAGCGCCACCTGCGGCCCAGGCAGCATCGTGGAGCGCTCTCTGTCAGCAGGGGAGGCACCCAGCCGAGGATTCCCGCATACTCGCCCCCTCCACATCTCCCTACCCCACACCACACCGCCACAACCAGCCCACCCACCTCGTCCATGGCCCCCACCGGGAAGGCCGCCACATAGCCCAGCGCCGCACTCCACAGCTGCGGGTCCTGCGCCTGCAGCACCGACAGCGCCCACGCCGCCATGCACGCCTCCTGCGCCAGCAGGCAGCCGGAAGGCAGGCGAGGGAGTGGCAGTGCAGCAGCAAGGCAGAGCAGCAGGCAGCCATGGGCGGCAGGCTCCTCTCTGCTGGCGCGTTGCGCTGTGGGCGCAAGCTCGCCTGCGGGCTGAAGGCCTTGGGGCTGGTAGGCGGCTCCCGCAGGATGGCGCCCACCCGATCCCGCAGCTTGCGCAGCAGGGCCGGGTCGGGCGTGTAGCCCAGGCGCGCGGCGCCCCACACCAGCACTGCACAGGCAGGTGGGAGGGCAGGGGGAGGGCACAAGAGGGGGCAGAGTCGTGTGCAGCTGTGTGTTGCGGGTGGGGGGTAGCCGGGGTGGGGGCGGGGTGGAAGAGCGGGCACGCCGGGCGACTGCGAGAGCAGGCACAAAGTCGGCGCTCGCCTGCCACCTCCCAGGGCCGCAGGTGATCCAGGTGAGGCTCGATCAGCTTGCCAGCTGCAGGCAAGGAGCAGAGCAGCGGCGCATGCCTAGCGCGTCACTCGGTCATGCAGACGTGTAGCTGGCTGGGAGGCACAGGCGGGGGGATGGCAGAGGGGCTGGCAGCCCGCTTGCCTGCATCCATGTCTGCCTGCGAGGGCTGGTAGCCAAAGGAGAGGGTGAGGAAGGGGAGGGCAAAGGCCATGACGACGCCCACACGAGGGTCCCCACGCATCGCCTGCACACCGGCGGGGGCGGTGGCCAGGGCTGGCGGGTCAGGGCTGCGCGGTTGGCGGGCTGTTGTGGGAACGATGCAGACGACATTCCGTCAATCCAGGGAGATGGAAGCCAGCTCATGCAGCCCTGCCACTCACATCGAGGTACGGTCCGCCGGCAGCACCACCCCGTGCGCTGCCGCCGGGCAGCCAGCCTGTCAGCCACCGCGGCAGGCCCAGCCAGTGTTGCTCATCCTGCCCTGCAGCCGGCTGGAAGGGGGCTGCCGCCGGGTGGGCTGCACAGTCGGCAGGGGCGGGCCACAGCTGGCTGGCAGCCGCTCCCGCGCCCAGGCCGGCGGCAGCCGCGGCGGCAGCTGCTCTAGCCCCGCCGCGCTGACCATGCTGGTGCTGCCCCTGGCTGCCCTGGTGTGATCCCTGGTCAGCCCCGAGGGCGCTCAATACTCGAGCTGCAACAGCAGGAGAGCAAACGTTGGGTCGGCGACGTGCGGCAGGGCAGCGGGCGCTCCCGCTCTCCTGCGGCGTGCACCCCACCAGCTGCATCCAGCCGTCGCCACCCATCCTCCCGCCCACCTTCTGCGGCAGTTTGCCGGCACCACAGGGCGGCAGGCAGCCGGGAAGCGGCGGCCCTGGCAATTCTCGACATAGGGGCGCCCTTGTCAAAACCCTATGCAGCCCGCCTCCTCCAGACAGACGCTGAGATCAATCGAATATACATGCATCACCATGGGCAGGGCCTCACCTGCCTCGGGCCTAGAGGTGCCAGAGAGGACGCCAGCGGGGCAGCCAATCGGATCAGGGCGGCAGAGCATGTCACCTCCTCTATCTTTGCTTTGCCCCGCTCGACCAGCGCGAGCCACTTGGCTCAAAATCCCGTGCAGGCTCTCGCAGACAACCCATTTTTGCAGCACCGAAACTCTGGCCGTCATGCAGGCCGCAGCGCTTTGCGCAGCGCAGCCGTGGATCCTGACCCCCGCACAGCAGCGCCCGACGGGCAGCAGACACGCCGCCTCGCCGCGGCCCACATCTGCGGCGGCGGCATGGCAGCGGCGGCGGCCAGCGGCCGCAGGCGGCGGCACCAGCAGCAGCGGCCGCGGGCGTGGCCGCCTGCTGGTCACCGCCGCCATCAAGGTGCGGAAGGGGAAGCAGGTGCTGTGCAACAAGACGCTCAAGGCCAAGGAGGGCAGCGAGGCGGCGGTGGCGCAGCTGTGTGAGGGCATGGCCGAGTGGTCGCGCGAGCGCATGGCGGACCGCGGCAGCGGCGTGCTGGCCTTCCAGTTCTCAGAGGTGAGGTCCGAGGCTGCGGCACTGCAGCGGCTCGGCAATCAGCCCAGGAGAGGCCTGCTCCTTTTGCCGCATCCTTGGCTGGCGGGCACCGAACCCGACTCTGCACTCCTCCTGGCTTTACCGGTCCGCCCTCGCCCGCCACGCCCCCGCCTGTCCTGCCCTGCCTTGCAGGATGATTACGAGAAGGGCACCTTCCACTTCATGGAGCTGTACGCCAACCAGAAGGCCATGACAGACCACAACAGCCACGACCAGGTCAAGACGTTTGTGCAAAAGGTGGGCGGGCGGGCACGGAGCGGGGGGCGGGTGGCCCCCGCCACTGCTGCGCCAGCACTGCCGCCACATGCACCAAACGCCGTGCACCAGCAGCGCCTGCTGCATCCCATGCCTCCACCCTCGCGTGCCCACACCGCATCCCGCAGCTGGAGGAGCACCTGGAGGGCCCCCTGGGCATGGTGCTGTACGAGTACAACGATGGCAAGATCGGGCCCGCCAGCATGGAGGTGAGGGCTGCGCCTGCCCTGTTTACAAACGGCGATTTGTGCTGGGAGGGTGGCGGCCAGCAGGCTGGGGTGGTGGCCATGGGGTGGGCAGCGGCGGCGAGGCCGAACAGCGCTGGCGATGCCCTGGCTGCGCCCTCGCGCCGGACGCTTGACTGGCTGCCTGCCCGCCCTGCCCCCGCTGCGCACACA